TATCTACCTAAAAATAACAATACTTATTAAATGCCTTATTTAAATATTCTTATCTAGTATCAAATAAAGAAAATACTTCATATAATCAATATCAAACTTTATTTTTAAACTAGAACAATTATATATAGAGCCATTAAATCAAGAATTCTAATTGACATTAATTTTTTTAATAAAATATATTAAAATATCTTAATAAATCATCTTATTTTTAATATGAAAAATTATCTTATAAATGACACTAGAAGATTTGAATTCAATAAAAACTATCTTTATTATATTAGATATTTATATATTTCAAAAGGTCAAGCATGATTATGTATACTACAAGCACAATATGACTTTTGAGCAATAAAATACTTTGGATAAAATAAAACTTTTTAACTTATTTGAAGATATTTATAGTGGCCTCAAATGTGCGAAGAAGTCAAAATATTTGTTCAATCATGTGACACTTATTCTACAGAAAAGACTCCATGTAACTAAGCTTGTAGACTTCCTCAACCTCTATCCATTTTTGAGAAATCTTGGTCATTTATTTCAATAGAATTTATTATCTTTTTCTAATTACAAAACCTTATTATTATTTTATTCTTTTCATAGTAGATTTTTGTAGTAACATATAATTTCTTATACTTTATACAAAAAAATATTATAAATAAAGAATAAAATATATATTTTTAATAATATTTACTAATATCATCGACTTGTAAGTAATAATAAATCTAATTGAAGAATTTATTTTATATTAAGTCTTTGAAAGATACTTTTTAATATTTTAAAATTTAATATTAAATTACCTTTAGTTTTTTATCTTTAAACTAATAAATAAGTAAAATATATAAATTAAGTATTTTATTAAGTTTTATAATTTACTACCAACTATTATAAAGAAAATTGAACGACTTCATTGCCATTGGAAAAAATTTCATATTGATATATAATACATTTATTTTATGATTTTATTTTATTTTATTATTAATTTTATTATTAAAAATTTGAAAGTTTTTGATTTTTCAAAAGTTAAAAAATCTAATAGTATAGGATGTGGCAAGTAGAATAGTAGAGCTTTACATGATAATTTAGTTATAGCTTAAATATGCCTTAGAATAATAAAAGAATTAATATAAATGATTTTTGTAAAAAATATCTTTTATTCAAAGTTAATGATAAGATATGAAACTTTGTTAAAATATTGAGATTAATTTATCTTTTAAGAAGATATATTTTTTATTTATTATTTATTATCTAAAAAAAGTGATCTTCTTGCATAATAAATATATTTATGAAAATCAATGAAGGTTCACAATATATTTTATGTATTTCTTATTGAATCTCATATTGAAATTAACATATTAGAAAGAAAATAATTACTATACCTTTTGTTAAAATATATAACAACAAAGTGATTGAAGTAGAAGAAGTCTTAATATTAAAGTGGCACTAAAATAAATTAGAATATCTTGAACATTGGCACAGGTATGATATTAATAAATGCACATAAAATTTGTCTAAGAAATTTGCAAATGTATTACAACTTGTTGTTATTCATTGATAACATCCATAAAAACCAAGGTCTAGATATTAAAAACATAAAAATATAAATTAAGAAAAAATAAGTTCAAAAATTAATTTATAAAACTTCTTTATAATTTAAAGATTTAAAAACCAATTTAAGCATTTTTATTTGCAAAACCACCAAATATAATATTCATGTTAATTCAACTTAAACAATCTTGGAATTGTGATAGACATCTTCTAAAAAGACAATGATTAAATAACAAGAGAGTCTTTTTGCATTAGTATGAAATACTATCAATGGTTGAGGAGATCCATCAACAACCTTTGTGCAAAACATATGTCTTAGATTTTTATTAATATCATTTCGTAGATATTAGACTTTATTAACTTATAAAGCAATTTGATTACTTTTTGTGGAAGTGGTTGTATATAACATAGGATAATACAACAATGTTATATTATAATATAGTGATTAAGTAAAAGAATATATGAAGATCAATCATTTAAAAGGACTTTATTAAAAATATAATAGACAATTACTAAAAAAAATTACAAATAAAAGATAGAGAGGTAATAGAAATTTTAGTCTCTATTGTCTTTTTGTCAAAAGAAATTCTATTTATTTTGTATAATCATAAATAAGAAAAATTAAGATAGATAACAAAAAATATTTTTATAAGCATATTTAAAACGTGGACTATAGAAGATTTTTATGAGCATTTTTTAAGAAGGCTTTGAATTTTTAATGATTTGATAAAAGCTAATAAAATTAGAATTAAATTTGAATGATTTTAATATTTAAAAATTAAAGTTAGATTTGCATTTCAAAAAAAATTGTAATTTTTGTAGTAGATTTATATATAAAATTTTGTGCTATATTTTCTATTATATTTTATAATATATTAAGAATATTTTTTTAAAATAAATTCTTAAAATTTGGATTTATTTCAATAGTCAAATTAAGAATTATTAAAACTCAAGTGGATTAAAGAATCTAAAATTAGAGAATTCATGGCCAATATACTAAATATAGTTTTGATCTAAGATCTAGAACAATCAAGGAATTAAATCAAGATAAAACTTTGTATAGTATTAGCAAATATAAATATCAATAACTAAAAAAAAAAAAAATCATAGAAAATTGATGTTCCAAGAATGAGATATTGAGATTGATAGCTTAATATTGAAATTGAAGAAGGGAGGCTATTTGATTCTAAAGCAAAAATAATACCTTTTCTCTTAATTGGTTAGTTCATTTCTTTTCAAATTTCTTTTGCATATTGTCAACTAAGTGTTTAAAATTTGTACAAAGTCAAAGGCAAAATCAACAATTTATAAAGAAATTACAAAGATTTTAAATTGTTATTGGATTTACTTATGATTGATTAGGATATATTAGGGTTTGGTTAGAATTTTTTTGACGTTTACATATGATTTTTCTACAATTTGGTGAGGATTTAAATGTTTAGTTATGATTTTTTGAACATCACTTAAGGTTTAGTTATGATTTTCTTAGGATTTGGTTAGAATTTGATTGAGGTTTAATTAAGCTTTAGATAGGATTAGATTAGAGTTTAATAAAAAAATTGGCTAAGATTTAGTTAAGATATGACTATCATTTCTAAGATTTTATTAAGATTTTATGAAAAATGTATAGGTTTATTTTAAAAAAAAAAACAGATTATTTAGGATTTTTTTGACATTATTTGGCATTTGATTAAAATTGGTAGAGACAATATTCATAACCTTGAAACTCACTTGATTGTCTTAGAGATGAATGAAGGCCATGTAAATGACCTTGAAAGTTATCTAAGGCTATATAGGAATAATGTTGGTAGTGGCTTAAAGAGTATTAAATGAGCTCATATCTATGAGCTTGAATATACTCAATAATCTTAGAGGTGAGTAAAGTACATATAATTGGCCTTAAAAATTATTTAAATTAGTCTATTTAGAAATATTGATTGATTGATAAAAATTGATTAACTTAATGTGTTTTTAAAGAGTCATAATTACTAAGACAAAAGGTTTCAAACAACACATTCATCCTTTTTAATTACAACAAGAACTTGAAAGTAAGTTGAAATTCTTTGACAACTAGATGCAAAATATATTTTTAGGCTAAATTTTATATAAAAAAAATATATATATATATCTATATTATTTAAATTAATATAATTAAATAAAAATAAATAGAAGTAATTAGAAATATATTTGAAAGATAATGTCTTCTTTAAAAATCTTTTAAAAAGTTTTTTAGATCTAAATTAGATATTTAGAATTTTACAAATATGTCATATGGCTATTAAAAAAAAAAATTAAGTTTTTTATTTTAAGTAAGTTGGATTAGTGCAACCTGAAATTTTTACGCTTTGAACACAAATCTTACAATTTCTAAAAAACTTTTGTAAGACCTTCATAATAAATTTATACAGACTCAAGATTAAGGCCATCTTCAATCTTGTTAATGTTTTTCTCATATTTAAGTCTTAGTTCAAAACTCTCTACTTTCTTTATATTTTTTTCTATCTTATAATTATCTCTTTTTTTTTTTACTTTTTTCTTCTCTATTGATACATAAGTATATTATCTTTGGATTCAATTGTAATTTATATTCTTAACATCTATATTAAGTAAATATGATTTAATTCCTTAAAATACTATAAAATTATAGAACAATTTTTTCAAACTTGTAAAGTAATATAAATATAAAAAGATCATATAAGAAAAATTAAATATCTATTTTTTATAATAGGATGATAACAATGTAACATTTGATTAAATAAATAAGTGTCAATGATATGAACTAAAAGATGATGCATAAACCAATAAAATTCGTGTCAAAGGAAGAATGACAAAATAGAAATAAAGAAGTACATATATTAAAAAAAAACTTGAGACTCTTAAAACTAAACTAGAAGCAAGAAAGAAGTTGAAAAGAGTTAAGAGGGCTTCACTCTTGTCTCTATATATACTATCTAATTAAGGGCTATATGACCTTCAATATTTATTGACTTTGTAAGACACATCCTTTGATTTATAAAGCAAGTTTTTCTATGTGTGGACCACAAAATTAGCTTGGTCTTCAAGCTAACAACATATGTTTTATATATATATATATATATATACATATATACATATACAAACATTTGTATATGTTCAATTCGAATTGATAGGTTAGTGCCAAAGAAGCTAATTGTTCCAAATCCTAGATGTGAAACTTCAAACTTACATGATTAAAGTCTATAATTTGCAATGAGAAAGTAAAAGTAAGGACAACAATATTGGAAGATAAAAATCCTAAGTATGTTCTACTTGTTTACTGGTATAAATCTTCAACATCTAAATATGAATATTTTCTCCACATACAAAAGTTTTGAAATGAAAGCGTATTTATACTGCAGGTGACATAATGATGTTGATGGCAAGAACGTACCTTGTGTAGATGCACGTCACCTCTACACAAGTATACACATCCGAAGTAATCAAGTGTACATATTTTCATTTTCAGTTTGATAGTTACATTTAGATTCATATATGCTGGTTTAATAAAGCCTTACGGCAAGAAAACCCAAGCAAGTCGGAGATTTAACCCAGATGGTGACCGGAACGATGTCGAGATGGATCTCGTAGGTCAAGTCACTGTCTCCAGAATAATAATAATAATTCATGCTGTTGCAAAAGCCTGGCCCCATACCTCATCTACAAATCTACAACTGTACAAAAATAGAAGTGTAATTCACTGTCACAAAGTTTTTAAGACTGCATCGTTAGGGTGAAGAGCGGTCTAGTCTACTCAGTCTTCAACGGTGAGTTCTAAATCTCTTCACGCTTTCGGTGACGACATGGGTGGCGATGAATCATCGACAGAGGGTTGCAAACGGTGCATCTCCTCCATTCTTGATTATTCACACGCTATTGACACGGCTTGAGCGCCGTGACTAGTCAATCCTTGCATACAAATTGACACACCCTGGGACTCGAGAAAAACATTGTCGCCATCGTCTCCTACAAAGATATGTATTCGTGTGATTCGCGGTCGTATTCTTATGCTTGCGTTGACGATTTGAGAATGGGAGTTAGTAAAAGGAAAAAAGCACAATAGATTGTGACAAAAAGTGGGCAAAACTAAATAGAGCGTCTTTGCAGCTCAACTGATTCATGAGAAGTTGGCACTTGATTAGAAGCACTCAAACTCGGAGACCGCATTGTCACCTTCGTGACTCCATCCCGTGGCTTTCTTTTTCTCGTCCGCCAAAGCTTGTCCAAGGGTGGGTACTCCCGCGACGGCAGCCAGCTCAGACCTGTAAGGCTTAGGAACCTCCGGAGGACAAGCGCACCGTATCAATGCCCAATTCACCCCCTCAAAAAAGGGGTGGGCTTTGATCTCGCCAGCGCCGCGAATGGAACCGATTCGCTTCATAGGGTCCTTCATCAAGAGACCTCTGATCAAGTCCTTTGCGCAGTCGGGGACGTTTACGGTGTCGGTATTAGGTGGGAAGATCAGGGGGTGTGAGACTACGTTCGTGAGGGTGAGCTCGTTGTCGGCGCCTTTGAATGGTGTCTTGGCATACAGGAGCTCGTAGAGAAAAATACCGAATGTCCACCAATCCACTGAGCTGCCGTGGCCGTCTCCAGAGATGATTTCAGGAGCCAGATACTCGTGCGTCCCGACGAATGACATAGAGCGAACTTCGGTGGGCTCGACCACAAGCTCCGGCATAGAAGGAGGGGACGCGGTGCCCTTGTCATTATCAGACCGGTTAGATCGCTTAGACCGGAGTGACATGGGCTTGCGGAACCGGTACTGACTAGAAATCATGGGGACGCACGATTGAAGGGCAACTTGTTGAGGTTCCAACATCCAGATTTCGGATGTGGCCCTTCGTCCGTTCCGGGATGGCAGCGCTGCAAGGTTGGGCTGAGCCATGATCAGGCTGGGATTCACAGCGCAACGGAGAGACAGATCGAAATCAGAGAGCATGATGTGGCCATCTTCCCGCACGAGAACATTCTCTGGTTTCAAGTCGCGGTACACCACGCCCATCATGTGCAGGTACTCCAGTGCTAAAAGGATCTCAGCAGCGTAGAATCTGTCGTCGACACATGTCCACCACCAAATCATGGTTATTCCATGAGTTAATTATATCCTCAATATTATCCCTCGTAACCCACTACTTGCTCCAGTCATGACGCAAAACGAGTCTATATTTCTTCCGGTGACCGATCCTGCCCCGTAAAAGGTGCGAAAGCAGGGAGGTACACAACCCACAAATTTGGAGACCCGCCGATAAATGACCATGTGCGCGGCAAATCACAAGTTGCGCCAAGCATGCCTAAATCGAGGGCGCCACCGAAAAGAAGAGATCGAAGGATAGAACATTGATGAAGACAGACACGAATTTAACTGCCGGCGCTCGGTGGGCCATACGCCCAAAAAGACGACGCATTTCCTCCCTCGATCTCGAATGCTCTACTTGACATCTATCAACAAAATTGGTAGTCTCGGGGCTAGGTTACGCCAATTAGCATCTTCGATCAAGGTGACGTGAAAGACACAGGCTAGGGGTCATATCTTAGCTCTAATTTAACGACGGTTAAGGGCCTCGGTTATCGCTCAAAATGAATTAAATTTGTGAACTGCACTCTCCGCTGGATTGTGCCTAATTCTCCACGTGGCATATTTAAGCCAACACTCGTGCATTACTGGTAGATCCAATACATAAGTTACTGTGATTAATTTAGTCAAATTGCCCACCACAACGAGTCAAGGACCGCGGCTGAGACGTGAACCATTAATAAAATTCAGAGTTTGACCAGTGTAGGAAACGGATTCGGGTAAAAAAGTAAACGAGGTACGTGTACTAGAAAAAGATAGAAAGCTTTAAGAGATTGTCAAGATATGACAATAAAATTGTTCCAAAGACAAGTCAATCGGAAAGGCCAAGAATTGTGCAGGTAGCACCTCCTCCTGGTCCAAACTTTCGTGTCTTTCTACTCCTTTCTATGAGCGTTTTCAAGCGAAGACAGGTTTTGGAATAAATCATCTAAATCCTGGACTAAGGTTCAAAGAGCCAACCAAGGGCAGTTTTGGGGTGCAAGGTGATAAGATGTTTCAACCACAAGCCCTTATCAAATACTTCAAGTGTATGAAAAGAAGTTTGAAGCTTAACTTACTTGGCAGCCATGTCGGAGAAGCACTTTCCCGCCTGCTTCTGTCGAAGAGAATGCAAGTCGCCTCCAGAGCAGTACTCCATAACCAGACACGAGAATTGAGCCGTGTCGAAGTGAGCATAAAGCGTCGGAAGAAAAGGATGATCAAGTGATGCCAAAATTTCCTTCTCTGTTTGAGCCCGTGAAAGCTTCTTCCGGGTGGCAAGGGCACTTTTGTCCATCACCTGATCCACGTAGCAATATCTTTCTGTCAGCCATGTAGTTCCTTCCACCTCTACGAAGTGGGTATCTCCACTCGCTAACATGGATTTACTCTCACGTCTTGAAACCTTCGGTAGAGCATTAACTAATCAACTACGAAACCCACAAATCAATTTTTTCAGTCCTAGTACTGACCTTCATTGCAAAGTAGCAATCCATGCCCCGCAGTTCGCACAAGTACACGCTGCCGATATCTCCGCAACCAAGTCTCCGGAGCAGCTTGAAATGGCTTAGACCCAGAGACCCGTCTCTTGCTCGAAGAGCCTGAATGGCCTCCCAGTTTATGTCATTCGACTTGTGTGGTTTACTGTTGCTATTTGGTTTTCTGGTTCGATCATAAACAATTTCGCGAAATCAATACATGGAAATTTACGGACAGAGACGCTTCCGATTGCAGGGTCAAACTAAGACTCCTTAACGTAGAACTCCTTCGTCAGTGGTACAACTGCGGCAAAAGTATTCACCTCAAGAAAGTATGGCTGACAGGAGGATCGACTTGCTTAGTGCCGACCTCTTCGCCAGGCTCAACAGCGGCAATAAACCTTGTGTTACATGTTTCGTAAGATTCATCCTCCGAGTCGTGACTCGTAGACATTTTGCTGGATCCTGATCTCCTATCTCTAGAATCTTTAGGTGGCGTCTCCCGGAATGACCCTAATCTGAAGGATCCGATCCGAAAAGACCCCAACCTCGACGTCCCAACCTTGGTGGTATCTTGGGAAGTAACCACATCGTTTTTGAGTGGTACGAACTTCATGGATGCAATTCTTTAAAATCTGGTTAACCAATTTCCCTGCTGGCGGCGACGACAAGTTGTAGATGAAGTTCTCAGGCTCTAAAGAATTGTTCGAAGACTCTCCATGATTTGCACACGCTTCCAATTGCCACTGCAACTACTGAGCTCTGAATCTACCCACTTAAAAATCTCAGCTCTCCACATCGTGCATCAATGAGGCTTGCAATCTGTTTCGGCCACTAACACGACAAAGATAATTAATTTAGATTACTTGCCCCTTTGTATTGTGCATCTCTAACTGCTTCCCGATTCAAGGGTTCAGAAACCTCAACGTACGCTATTCAAAACTTCTATATTCAGTCGAGGTGACAATTGAACGTTTGAGCGATGCGGAATTCGCGCAATTAGTCACTGATGGATGTAATGTTCTGCACCCAGTTCCAGAAATACGAGAGAGATGCAGTCGAGGAAACCTTGCATATACAAACTATTTGAAACATCAGGTGTGTTCTCAGTAAGGAGGGAAACACCAGCAAAAGTACCGCAACCCCTAATTCACCCCTCGCACGTCACACCCTTAGTACACTTCACCAGTAAGAGGCTGTCGATGATTTCATGATGGCTACGTTAGAATATGCAACTATATTCTCTGTGGTGATTTAAGATACATGCGTTGTTTCCCTACACAATCCCAAATTCCGCTTTATCACAGCGACCGCGTGAGTGACGGAGGCAAGATGGCTGCGTAGCGAGAAATTGAAGAGGACGAGACAACAATTCGGTCTACCGAGCAAGTGGTCCCCAGCATCCACCAAAACCAATGATCATGTGCAGAAAATCACTAAAAGTCTACGCAATGGCAGCCCTGGAAAGACTACATGCGATTCACCGATGGCAAATTTCGGCGACAGAGACTAAATCCCAAAACCCTTGACATTCAGGGACCAGTAACCAAGAAACGAAAACGCTCCAGCTGAACGAAACCGCAACTAGACGTTCTGCAGGTATCGGAGTCTCCAGTTCAACACACTCTGCGAGAGCACCATAAAGCAAAGATGCACACCTGCAGCAAAGTCGCAGAGACGTTGGACCGACGTGCGGCGATCGAGAAGGGGGGACGAGCAGCAATAGCACGGACATATGCATCACGACATCAGCAAAGAATCTCACTACAGAAGGGAGAGAAGGAGGGGAGGACAAAGTACTGAGCTTTAGTCCGGGAGGCGAAGGGGGATGGACCTAACTACCGAAGAAGAAGAAGTAACAACGTCCAATGCTCCTCCACAAAGGGGGGCTATGGACATAAATTCCAGCAGATCCGGGATGTGAACGCAACACTAATAAGTGCCGGAACATGGGATCCCCGCTCTCGTCCCCCGACTTGTCTCTCCGCCCGCCCCGCGCTTGCTTCCTTGAATCCCATCCCCGTCATGGGCGGATCGACATGGACAGGGACAGGGACAGCGACAGGGGACCAGCCCGGGCACTAGGAAACGGGGGCGGGGAGGACGGGAACGGCGGAGATGCACCAGACTGGCACCCCCTCTTGAAGGGCAGCGCCCAGGATTAGCGCGCACTTCCAATTCATCCCCCCCCCCCCCCCCCCACCATCCCATGGCGGGGCAGGGTACCCGTCCTAGCCCGGCACTACCCGACCCGAGGAATCAGAAGGCCGCGCCAGGCGCGTCGGGCAGAGAGCGCCGCGGGCCCTTCGATGACGGAGCCCCCAGAATTCACTCGGCCCGTTCTCCCATTTACTGCCGCCCTTTCACATCAAAGCCTCACGAACTTTGAGATTCTCTCTCTCTCTCTCATTTCTTTGCTTTACTTTTCTTCCATTACTTTACTTTTATTTACTTTCCTTTTCTTTCTCTAAGTTTTTTTTTTCTATTTCGTATATTAATCTTTCTCATCAGTCCCTACAATTTGATTAGCTTTTTACTTCTATTCTCATCAGAACATCAGTCGTTATTTCTGTGTGCGTGTATGTGTGTGTTGTGTCAGATGCTGCAAGGAAACAGAATATTATTTTTCTGCTCTCGTGAGAGTTGCATTTTGAGCAAGGACACCTTGTTTTCTACCCTAAATATTGAATTTGCAGTGCTGTAAATTTGTTCCCTTCTGTTGCTCATGTACTCTCCAGCAAATGGGTCTTAATGTTGGATGAATGCTTATACTATTGATTCTAAAATAAATAATCGATTAATTGGATTTGTTGGATGATTTGTGTGAATAGCATTTGGCTGTGGTTATCAAATTAGAATGCATCATGCTAACCTATTTGTATTGCACTGATTCACAATTTCAAACACTATGGTTAATTATTTAAATGAAGAAACTCATTGTTAAAGTATACGGAGAGTTTGTTGTTTAGATTACTATTGAGCTGTTTCCGCTCTAGAAAATAAAAGTGAGTTACATACCTGCATTTGACTTAAAGAAACAACAATGATAACAGTACAATAAATAATATTCCAATTATATTAAAACAACATCAACTTTGGTGAATAACACATGATAGAAAATCAGATTAGAAGTGATTAAACTCTAAACATGATGTGATATTGTTATTCCATTGAACTCAAGATATTTTGGATCACAGAATGCAAAACCCATTTTTGTACCCACAATTTTAGATGGGACCATATTATTCTTGTACCCATTAAAGTGGGAAAGGGGGTTTTGAAAAGATGACCCCCACCTTGAAAACCCTAAACCCTAAACAATATAGTCTGTTCCTGTCCTGGACAAGGAGAGTGGATTGCGTTGAAACCAATGGAGCAAACAACAACTGGAAACAAGTGCAATGGGAACATTCTTGTCCAAATTTGTGACTTGGGTGTTTAAGTTGTGTGGGGCGTGCTCAACGTGGTAGCTTTGTGAAGCCCCATTTGGGCTTATTCTATCCATCTCACCCAACATTAACAGAATCCCTCTTGATGACTCACCTTGAAATGAGATTTGGAAATACTTATGACTTCACAAGAGGTTATGATTCTTGCAAACTCAACCATGATAGCCTTCCAATTTTCACAAGAAGGCTAGCATGACTCAAGATAATTGATTGGTTATGTCTCAACAAAGATGACCTAGAGATTTAAAAGACACATATATTTTTATTAAAAAAAAAAAAAAAAAAAAAAAAACACACTAGGTAATTTGTGTTTATATAAATACATTTTTTATTATGAAAGAAATATATATATATATATATATATATAAGAGAAAAACATTGGTGATGAATACACTGTAAGAAACATTTGCACAACATATCCTCCATGAAACTCCATTCAGTTTACAAAGTAGGAATGTTAATATTGAGACTTTACTTAAATATTTGAACAGATTTGGGAAATTGTTACTCATCAAAAAGTGTGATACTTGGAAAGTTTTGTAATGAATACTCTGACATTCAAAAATATTGCATGAATCATGATAACTTGTAAATAAGAAATACATTTAACTTGCAAAGTGTACAGATAAATTTGAATCAAATTAAACTAAATACAAATTTCTCATACATGCATACAAATGACTCATAATCAAATATCCCATGTCAAATCTAATAAATATGTGTGTATGTTTGAAAAACAGTGCCAACACTTTAATTTACTTGCATATATGCTGTTCAAAGATATAAAATTAATTTATATGTGTGTTTCTTCAGTAACCTTATAAAAATTTTAAAATGTAGATCACAACAACTATTGATCATGGTTGAGTTTTATTATAGTTATAATAGTTAATTTAAAAATGTACATCACAACAACTATTGATTGTAATAACGTGACCAAACTGTTCATAAACACGAGAACAAATATATTATTTATGTTAAGAATATATCATTATATCATTTTAAGAAGAAGATTATCGAAAGACACAAAAAACCCAAAAAATAAATTTAATAAAATTGATTTGATATAGATGCCATATATACATAGAGAGAGATCTTATTCGAATTTCAATATGTGTAGGTGTTGATGAAGAAAACATTCTTAGATTTACATAAGTATTAATTACTGTTCTTTTCATTATTAGATTTATTGGAATGCTATATATATTAACTAAGACAATGAAAAAGTAATTATGTCTGTATGTATATGTATATATATATATATATATATATGAGAAAAGAATGTAATCTAATTGTAAAAGCTGAACCCGTAATGAACAAAAGTAAATAACGGTTTGAAATCAAATAAACAGTGTTCACCAACATTGAAGGAAAAACACGATATCAAATTCAAAACACACAAAATTGTACATTTCAGTTGTTAAACTGATGTATTGAATGATGTGATTTTTACATTTTAAATTCAAAATTTTCTATTGTTTAAGATTCAGGATAATTCAGTGCCCATATTAATTTAAAACACATTGGAAGAACTTTCATGATATCATTTGTATCAATCCATTTGAGCATTGCCAAAACTTAATTATTTACATCAAGTTTTTTTTGGATAATTCATGTTTTAATTCGCATATTCATACATATATACACACACACAGACATATATATATATACATATATATAATATTTCTGATACAAAATCCAGACAAAGCAGAATATGCCTTGAAATATAACTTTACTGTGTGATGAACTTAGTTTATGTTTTATTGGAAGGATTTCGTGAGATCACGAAAAATTATCATTACGTGTCTATTGACAAATTTTACTGCATTTTTGATGTTTTATTTAGGTTTTCGTTTTCTGTTTGTATTAAATAACACCACATAATTCTTAATCTATAAAAACAATTAGAGAAAAGAAACCGATCAGTGTTGAAAGTTTAAAATAATATTGTTTAACACACTTCAGATAAACACGAATGTTTTAAAATATTTTACCAATTATATATTTATTCATTTATTTAAAATAATTATACAATGTACTTAGAAAAATTTATTCAAAGAGAAAAAATTAAATCATAGTAAGAAAAATTTAAATAAAAATCAAAGACCTTAAATTCTTGATTAAGAAACATTATGAAAGGTGAGATGAGTCTAGATTAAGTAGTTTATCCTTGATTTTGACAATCGATTTATTTAGACGAAGAAAATAATAACATGATTATTGGTGAACTAATGAAGTTAGAAACTTGATAAAAGTAGAATATTATTTCATCCAAAATTCAGTAAAAACATATAATTTTGGTGGTTATAAAGCCATCATATTCCAATATCTCTTTTTTAAAACCCATCCTAAACAATATATCAATTGTTTTTATAAGTTTTAGACAAAATATTTATGCTGAACCCCATGTACAGTATACAATATTTTAGTTGTAAATATTTTAGGAGTTTTGAATTTTTTTATCATTAGCGTCTTAAAAAGCTGCTTACAAAGTTGAATGCAACCAAGAAGTATCAAAAATCCCAAATTTTTTGCCGGCAAGTGGTGAAATAAAAAATTCCTTTGAATTACAAATGTTTTAATTCCAAAAAGAAACAGTCAAAATGTTTTGGAATGTCATAATTTGTGTATGTGTATATGTACATATCATTGTGACATTCACAATAATTTTTAAGAAATTAATGATCAAATGATTGAGGTTCACACTAAGACATTTAAGAGTACAACTTCCACAACAGAACACCATCCAGTTTGTTGTTAAATTTACACATTTCCAATTTCAGTGTATAACTTTCTCGTCAAAGGCATTTTTTTAAATGAAGGGTTCACAGTCTTGTGGTTGCAACTGTTTTAGAAGCTCAATATTAGTTAAGAGATGATATAATTTTGCACAAAAGAAATTTCTTCTTAAGCTCTATAATAAATGAAATCAAATTAAATTATTTTCCCGGGATTAATAAAGAAGATATAAAAATATTAACATAAAATTTGCACATAGCTTATAAACCTTGAATTGGTGGTGATAAGAATCCTATAAAAGAAATTACATAATTTTAGCACATATTTTTATAACTTTGAAAGCAACAAGATTTCTCAAATTTTTTATTTATCTAGCACAATATAATTTTCAAAACCATATTGAATGAAAAAAGCAGATGCGAAAATTGATGCACACCGAAATTGTGCAAAGAAGCACAAGGGCAAAACAAGAAAAAAGAAGGAAAAACGAAAAAAAAAAGAAAGAGAGAGAGAAGCTTGAGACTATTAATTAATTAGGAGCAATAAAATTTAAACTGGTTTGTGAATTAGATGGTACTTACAAGCATCTCCGAATATAATAAAAGATACTATTTAGATTAGATTAAATAATGATAAAAAGAATCCTTGTTGGCTGTGTAAACCAAGTGTGTGGGGCATGGGGAGGGCAACACTTTATGGCTTCCCAAAGATAAATATCTGCTCAAGACCCATGCCTTGAAAAGTTGAACCATATGGAAAATAAATCAAGGGTTTAAT